TAAAAAAAATCTGTCTGATATAAAAAAAAATTAATTTCGATTTTCTTAAAAATAAGATCAACACCTACTTTTTGAACCAATTTTGTTTTGGCCTTATATTTACTTGAGGAATTATTGATGTTTGATATAGACACAAAACTTTTTAATATTTTTTTAATTAGACACTTAATATAACCCCAGCTTTTACCAATCAATAAAGCAGAAACTAAAAATTTAGTGACTTTATTATCTTTTTCATTTTCATTTAATATTTGCAACAAAATTTACACGTATATAAATTTTTTTTTTTAAATACTAAACTTTAGTGATTTTATATATACTTTACATTCACATTATTTACAAGTTGGTTGACAAAACATAATTTTTAAAAAAGAATGGATAAGACATAATAGACTCATAATTATAAAAATCTCTACTTCCTTAGGAAAATAATATTTTTTAACTCCTCTTTGGCTAAATAGTAGCAAAGTCCGGTTTTTGTTATCGGTACCTCAACTTTGCAAATAATGTGGACATCAGGAATCCAGCATTGGTTTTCCTTTTGTGGCCATTTAAACAACCGTGCAGGACCATTAGGACACATAAATTTTACAAGCACATCTTTTGCTTCTAAAATAATATCTTCAATGACTCCTATCCACCACTTTTGCTCATAGGAAACACAGGCATAATCACCTGGTACTAGGTTTACAGTTGTTATCTGGATATTTCCAAAGTCGTGAATTAAATCAAATTCTTCATCAACACTGCATAGCTTAGTTCCTACCTAAACAAAATAGTAACATATGCAACTATTCTGTTTTACTTATCAAACATGTTTTATTAAATGCATAGATAGCAAATGCAGAGGAAATAAAATAAAATACAAATAATTTTGATAATGATTCTGCAATAATCTAATATCTATTTGAGTTTATCAATAAAAGTAATGCGTGTATTTCAAAATATGGTAAAAGGTATAATTAAAAAATAATAATTTACCTTTTGATGGCCAAGTGGTACAAACTGATGGTAACTACGTGTTCCAGGTATTGTATTAGCAGTATCCAATCGTTCTTTAAGAGCGGTTCTCACCAAAGTTGAATCTTCTGATGAAGTATATATGAAATGTATGCCTTCAATGTTTTCATTGCAAAACGTATACATTGTTTGTGGAGATAAAATATGATTACCCATATCTCTTTGCAAACTTGCTAGTGTTGCCAGACGTTTGACTGTACCACCTATCCCATCACAAGGTTGCTTACCGTGACTAGTTGCAAAAAAGTTCCATCTAGGAGTAAAACCAAAATCTTCACAATGGAAACAAAGATTTAACATATTTTCGCAATTCTTATGTTGACCTGCACGCCCATCTGAAAAGTATTCAATATTTTTTATTTGAGGCAAATGTGTTTTTATATCATTGCAAACAACCTCAATAATTTTATAAACCATGTTCACATTATGGATCATATCATCCGAAAGAATACGAAAGAATTTGTGCTTCAGAATGCCTTTTTTTTGAAATAAATAATCACTGGATGAAGTGCACATTGTATATTTGTCCAATGAATGCTTTGCACTTCATCCTGAACTACAAATTTATAGTTTTCTAAAAAATCACCCAGAAATAATGCTGTTACCTCACTCATATCTTCCTTTCTTGATCTCAAGTAAAATGCTTGACTCTTTGCTAAATACGAATGTGGTGCAGGTTTTTCCAGTTTTCTACATACTAATTCAATGATTCAAACAATGTCTCTTTATTATTTGTCAGGTTTGACCTATCTGTTGCAGGGCATTTTTTACGTTTCCTCATCATACAGTCTTTATTAGTTATATCACAGACAATATAAGGTAACAATTCTTTGTATGTCACATCAAGAGGATGTAAAAGCAGTTTCAAATTCTGATGAATAGCACAGTGCATACAGAATGTGTTCCTGAGGCACCAACAGTAATACACAATTTAGGTCGCAAGGTGCAAAACCTTGAAAATAATATTTTTATTTCTGGGTTTTTGGTTTTAAAGGCAACAAACAATTCCTTTAAATTACATAAGAGCAAACGTTTTTTCATGTGGACATTTTTCTTTATGCTTACATAGTCCTTTTTACCAGGCATTGTGCGGCTATGTTCATCGTCTTCGTAAAAGGTCTTGACCAGTTGATCTGTAACATCAGGAAGAGCTTTTCCTAGTTTAGGATTAGGCATGGTTAAAATACCTTTTTCTAATGTTAACTTACGTGCAGTTCGAGCTACACAGTTTGTTACATGCAATATTTCAAATACCTTTTTTATTGACCAATCTGTTGGAGCAAGTGTCGCAAGTTGTACTTTTTTTGATATTGATGTAGACTCTGCAATTTTGTTTGTTAACAATACCATCATGTTATCAAACAAGTTTTCTTTTTCCATTTACTCATTATTAAAACTTGACTGTTCCTCAAAACTTTCTTCTGATATATTAAGGGAAATGGTTACCTTTTTTTTAATGGAGGTTGTTAATGCTGTCAATTTTCGTTTACCTGCTCTGATTTTACCTGACTTGTGCAATCCTTTGACCTTAATTGGAGATACTCCGGCAGATGCAAATTGTGTATCTACACTTTCTTTTTATTTTGAATGGATCTTTCATTAACAATTTCAAAATCTTCATCAATTTTAGTTTCACTTATACTTTTTGATAAACATGTCATAACTTTACTTCGACAGGTTGGACACAGTTTTTTTCCAGGTATAAGATTTAAACCTATGGTTTCTGCTTTTAACACAGTATACACTGTAATCACACGTAGAGATGCTTAAAAAGAAAGTAATTACATTACTTAAATATCATTAATTATATATATTATGTAATTATATTACTATAGAATTTTTTGTATAAATAACTATGAAACATTGAACAAATCTTATTACCAAAAAAACTTATATGACTTAACAATAATGATATTACTTAATGAAATATAAATATATATATATATATATATATATATATATATATATATATATATATATATATATATATATATATATATATATATATATATATATATATATATATATATATTCTACATCTTTTGGTGAATCAGAAATTGATTACAGCAACTTTTCTGATTACTCTCATATCTTACAACTAACATATCATGATGGTGTGTGCATATATTAGTAATTTGTTTTTGTTTCAGATTTGTTCGTTTTTCAAGTAGCTTACAATCATTGCTGTCAATATCTTCAATCAGATTTCTTTCTTAAGTATAGGATTGTTTATAATAAGCTCCATAAGTATTTACAAAGCAGCAATTAATTTTGTTATCCATATAAAAATATAATGAGGAATCTCTGTCTAAACACTTAATACAAGAAATCTTAAATAATCTTAATGTCCCTAACAAGAAAAGTACACTTGAACACAAACAATATCATATCAATATGTATTTATAAAAAACATATTTATTGAACAAGTAGCTATTAGTTTAATAGACATTTTTTTAATATAAAACTATCTACTAATTATTGAAAATTCTCCATTAACTACTTACAAAAAGTTGTGTAAAAATAAAAGATAACTAAATATAATTTTATTTAGTTATGTAACTTATCATGGTAATATTAATTAGACATTATTATATCGTTTTATTACTTTTTTTATTGATGATAATAAATGTTTTATTACAACAAAACAATCAGCAACAAAAGTTACATAATATTGTTAAATTTAATGACATGATATTATGTAATGAAAATGACATTATTATTATGTAATGAAAGTAAAAAGAAACAAATTTATAAAATGTTCAACTATGTTTTGTAATAACTTTGTAAATTTTTTACAAAGCTATTACAAAACAAAAATATTAGTATTTGTATTCAAAATATGTTTGCAAATTTTTTTTTTTTGCAAAATATCTTTAGAAAAATTGAAAAACTAAAACATCAATAACTCCTTGATAAAACATAAGGCCAAATAAAAATTAGTTCGCAAAGTAGATATATGTTTAATATTTAAAATAACAAGAACCAAAACTTTTTTTCATAAGTCAGATTTTTTCTAGAACTATAGTTGTCAATGGCCTTTTTTATTGTCATTAACAAGTGCGTTTTGTGGATCTAAAAATAAACTTTATTTTGTAGTTTTGAGAGATGTAAATTTATGATTTTCAGATTTAGCAGGTTTTAAACTCCTTTGGTACCAAGTTTTAGCTTCGCAACATTACTACAAGTTTGTTTAAAGGGTAATGGTAAATTGACATATTTCCAGCTTTATCCCCCTCTTTTTTCAGTCAAAAAATAACTAACTTCAAGTTGCTGTAAATCTCAAAGGGTTGAGATTTTTTTGAAAAATTTTTACAGTCTTTTCTAACTTATATCTTTAAAAATTTGTGCCAAATTTAAGCAAATTTGGTAATACAGGGTGCAATCCCTTGTTTTTTGAGAAATTTTTACCCAAAAGAAATCTGGAAAACAAAGTTTTTATAAAAGATTTACTTACTATTAGTTAAATTCAAACTTTTTGCAAAATAAATGTTTTGTTCACTTTTTAAATGAGCCCTAGGAGGCCTCTTACTCACTTTATCTTTAACCTTCATTTTTTTATGTAAAACTATTTGAAGACTTTGTGTTAAAAATAATTATAATTGTGTCAAAGAAAAAACTAAAATATTTATCATATGCATATAATTATAGCCTGATGTATTTCAAGTAATGAGATTTTTTAAGCTAATGTTGCAACCGTTAGGTTGCAAATGTTAGTTTTTCATGAAACCATAATTATATTTCACATATTATATGTGGAAATTAAAATAACATTGGTTTTAAAAAACATTTGTTTTTTAAAACCAATGTTATCCGAATAAAACTAAAATGAGTTCTTTTTTTAAAATACTAAACATAATACAAAGCGAGAGATGATTTTTTTTTTTTTATTAAAAAAATACATATTCAAAGTAGGAAAAAAGTCTTTGTAACAATTTAAAATTTGTACCCAACTGGCTTTTTTCTTATGGCGTCTTTTTTCAAACTTTTTTTCGGTTCTAAAAAGAAATAGCATAAAAATGGTAACGAAATGAAGAGAGTATTCATTATAAAACGATGCAATAGTTTTAAAATATAGATTTATAAAACAAAATTACAACAGTAAAATGCAATGCCGTAATAATGTAACTGTAAAAAAATGCAGTGTAAATAAAGTATTTTTAGTTTCTTTAGACAAATAAAATTAATATGACTATTTGAATTATTATCACTATTAAAAGAAAAAAAATAAAATAAATACACCCTAAGCTTCATAGGAACCAAAAACTACTACGAATACTAAGTAAGGTTTGTAATGTTGCCAAATTTTTATTTACCGGCAATATTGATTATTTGTTTACCATTAAATATTCAATATTGAATATTTAATGGTAAACAAAATTATCTAATTATCTTTAAATTGTTATTACAATACCTACCATAGTGTAGACGAACAAAAATTGCAGAAGTAACAAAAAATTTCGTGCAAAAGCTTTTAAATACCAAGTAATAAAAGCTTTTATATACCAAGTAATAAAACTTGAAACAATAATGAGGAAAACTCACCATCATTCCCGTAAATTCAGGTATTCCAGACGTCGAAGTTTTTGATTAAGCCATGCTGGGCTTCATACCATGGATCTCCAGCGTATACGTCGATATTTGTAAATACTCGTGCGTTATAGTTTTGTACTTCATATACTTTATTGTGATTAATAAATATTTTAAAATAAGCTTTCCCTGATTCAACAGTTTGCTCTATTTTAACATTTATCCACTCGTCTAGAAAAAGTGGTTTAGATTTAAATGTTTCATGACCTTTTAATGCAAAAGCAACGTGTAACCTTTTATTAAAAATCCAAACGCCAGGAATTCGATCACCGTACATTAAATCATTTCCTCCCATTGTCAAATGAATGACACTTCTATATCCATCTGAAAAACTGTCGAGTTTTAAATCTAAACTAACATAAAATGCTTTTTCTAAAGTTGACAAACTCGCAACCAAGTTGTTTCTCTTCAGCCTCACAATGTTATAATCTGAATTGTCCACATAGTCTAATAAAGAAAAAAAAACATATTTTAATGATTTTAAGCAATTAATACAGAATAAAAATATTTTCACATTAAAAATAAAATTTATTTTCTAAAGTTTAGTTAAATTTAATAAACCTTACAATGAGTCCATAGAGCTTTCGCATATGATTCACCTAAAATACCGAGTAAAATATGGAATCTATTTAAATTCAGTTAAACAATTAATTAAAAGTAAAATTGTGAAAGATAAAATCTGTTATACTATTAAAGAAGTTAAAATAAATATGCAAATAAAAATAAATAGTGTATTTAAATGTTTTATTATGTACTTTTTGTACTATCAGAATATAATTCGAAAAAGCAGACTTTGTTACGGCTGATTTAGGTGCATTACATACAAACCGTAAAATCTAAGATATAAAAAAAGTAATACCTAGCTCCCCATTTTCAATAATTAGATTTTTTATTGATCCATCATGAGATGGATACCAAGGATCTGAAGCAAAAACTTTGACATTGTTAAACTTTTGGGGTTTGTTGTTCCTTTCAGTAAACACATTTGTTCCATTTAGATCGATTGTGAAAATATATTTGCTGTTATTACGTTGTTGACTAATAACAACGTTTGTCCACTCATTGAGTGGAAGTGCATCGGTATATATTCCTCTGTTAGGATTTCCATTTATAGGTGTAGCAATGTAAAAGCCTTCAGAATTATATTTATCCTCGTAAAACGAAAGTGCTGGAGTACTATTTCTATATCTACTGAAATCATTACCAACAACGAAATGAATAACATTATGAAAACCATATGAGTATGAATTCGGTTTTAAATCAAACGAAATTTTGTATGACTTAGCCAATACAGGAAATGCAGCTAGTAACCCCTCTTTTTTTAACTTTTTTTCGTCAGGACCTATCAGCTTATCTGAAAAACACACAAAAAAGTATTTTTAAAAAGTAAAAACTATAAAACAAACTGAAACGATATCAATAAAACTTACAAACAAAAAAAATATGCTTACTATCTTGTAAAGTAAAATACTGAATTTCTTACAGCCACGTTAGAATTATTAATAATCTCCGCATTTTTGAGTTTTGAGACAAAACGATATGAAAAAAAAAAAAAAAAACTTCAGGAGACGGCAAATGCTTGCCGAATAAACTTAAGTTATAAAAATATTTTTATAACTCATGTTTATTAGGCAATTTTCGTACCTATAACTTAGCTTTCAATACCGTAAATAAAGATTATTATGAAGTACATAACATTACCAATAACTCAGTTTTTTCAAAAGGTGGAGATAAAACAAGATATATCTAAGGTCGCGAGATGTTATTTATTTGTTGTATTTTTTTTTACTGTAATTTCCAATTGGTAAAAGTGGCTTCTAATAAACATTATTAATACATACATGTCAAGGAGTCCTTTTAGGGTCCTAAAAAAACTAGGAACAAGAAAAACTTTAGATTTTAAACCCATAAAACCCATAAGTTAAATATTCATAAAAGTTATCAAATTTTTTTTTTTTTTTTTTTTTCGTTCTTAAGTTCTTTAGATTCTATAGGGCTTTTTTGCTAGGGCATTGTTATGTGTTTTTTTTTTTAATGATTAAATTTGGAAATATTTATGCGTGTGGTTAGTTATCTTTAAAATGAGCTCGAATAAAGTTACATACCTAAACCATGTGTCACTACAAACAGCAAAACAACGCCAATTATCACTTTCTAAGAAAAAAACGTTAACCATAAATTAAGTTTGTTATTTTAAAACTTATTTTGAAAATCTAGTAAAAACTCATTACATAAAAATTTGAATCTTTTAATACCATTTTTTTTTCTTCCTGCTATCTGTTTCGCAATGGCTCGTTTTCGTTCAACAAATCTGCATAGACTGATGAAATGGCGCGTCTTTATATATAGAACAAGGTTACTGATGTGTGACGAAATGATATTCTTTAGACAATGAATTTTTATATTCAATTTCTAATCTTTATCCTGTATTTCTTTATTTTAAAAACATTTTATTAACCCTTTGAATTAAATTCATAAACCGTAAAATCACATTTGCATAGATTTTTGCAATTCAATTAAGTAAGCTAAGCCCTTTCATGAAACCGTGTCATTATTAAAAAGTTATTTTAATTTTAATAGACTGCACCTTTTATTTTTATTAGCGGTACCTTTTGGTTTTAATAGACCCCACCTTTTAGTTTTAATAGAACGAAACCGGCCATTCAAACTTAGGTTTTTTTCATCAGAGATGAAAACCTATTTACTTTTTATTTTCCTTTTATTTTCTCAGCATTGCCTATATCATGTTGAAAGTTTTATAATACGTACATAATTTATTGTAATATACGTAAGCTGAGACTAAATATAAAATATTGTAATTAATAACATAGCATTCAAATTATGTTTGCTGATTCAATAGTTAATAATATTAAAAGATATTATAACAAATGCTTATGTTGTGCAAAAGTAAATGCAATAGAAAATCTGAGCATAATCATTTTATTATATCTAAAAAACTATCAAAAGACAATAAAAAACTAAATAGGTTTTCTTTTAAATTATCTTTATTAAAAATCTATATATCATCTATACTAAATAACACATCATAAATCTACTGCAAAGCAATTCGAAATTAATCTTTTTTTCGACATGCATATACATATGTATATGTATATCTATATCTATATATATATATATATATATATATATATATATATATATATATATATATATATATATATATATATATATATATATATATATATATATATATATATATATATATATATATATATATATATATATATATATATATATATATATATATATATATATATATACAAAGCAGGTCTTGTAATCATTTTGACAATAGATTTTTATAACAAGATTTTTTGCGCTACTATAAGTCTTTGGATTTTAAATGAAACGACAAAAGTAGGGAGTTTAGGTAATTTTTATAGCGAATGTAAGTAATCTTGTTTTCAATGCATTAGATTTTTTAATATATTTCATTTCCAAAAAGGTTTCAACTGCTTCTGTATCTTATTTAGTTACAAAGATATAAGTGTTTTAATATTTTTTATTCATAGAGTTTTTATGAAATATTCGCTTAAAGTATCTCGTTAAATTTTTTGCGCCGAAAAAAATCTTTTTTATAATTTTTTATTTTTGGCGTAAAAACTTTTGGCGTAAACAAACTTTTAATAAAATTTTGTTAGAAATTAAATCGTAAATCAAAATGATTTGCACAAATTATAAATATAATTTTTTATAACAGTAGAATATGTTTTTAACTTTTTTAACATAACTTTTAAATGGTTTAATTTATAATACAAAAAACGTATCAAAACTTTGAGGAGAAATATTAATTTAAATTAACTTTTATTTGAAAACTCTTCAATAAATTATCAGGTAAAAATGTTTGGGCTTTTCTTAGATTTAAATAAACTAATAAAACTAAAATCAAATCACTGATAGAATTATGTTTATCTAAATGTTTTTTTATGGAATAAAGAAATTCACGAGCTTGTAGATTCAGATCCAATAGAATTTTCACTTATCGTAGTAGTTGCGGAAGAATTCCTGCAATTATTTGAAAATAAAGCAATAATTGCTATTCATTTAATTCACTATTAGAAATAAATTCGTTTTTGAGGTACGTAGATGATAGCCAAGCAAGATTTACAAATAAAGATAATGCCATCCGTTTTCAACAAATATTAAACAGCCAACATCATGTCATCAAATACACATATGAATTGGAAGATGAAAACAAAAAATTTAATTTTATATACATCTTAATAACCAAGAATCGAATTGGTTATTATTATTTAAACATACATCGAAAAAAAGCAATAACAAACATTCAGGTTAACCCCGATTCAAACCACGATCCAAAAAACTTGAAAAGTATATTCAAAGGATTTATTCATAGAGCTTTATCCGTTTGCTCTAAAAAAAATTTAAAATAAAGAAATTGATTTCCTAATAAATGTGTTTTTGCTGAAAATGGATACGAAAAGAAAAATTAACGAGACCTTGCAAATATTGTTATAAAAAAACGACACTTAAATAATTAAATAGTGTTATCTAGCAACAAAGCAACCATGCCAACTATATCACTATCGTGGATCCCAATAATATCACCAAAACTTCGAAAATTCTTTAAAAAAACAGGTAACAGGGCAGTCTTTAAATCTAGTGCAAATCTTAAATCTTTACTAATTCCACTCAACAAAACAAAACTACCAAACAGCCATCCCGGAGTAAACCAAACAGAATGCAAATGTGAACAAAAATACAAAAATTAAAATAGCAACAAGAATAAAACAACACCTAAAAAATGCTGTTGAAGAAAAATTAAAACAATCTGCAATTTGGCATCATAAAATTCAATGTTAATGTAGTACAAAATAAGATCAAGTAAAAGACCAAAAAAAGACGTCTTTCGAACGTTCAATAAACGTCCAAAACGTTCAAAAGATATATATATATATATATCTGTTTTTTATTTATCAGTAAATTTTTAATTTTTTAAAACTATAATAAAACTTCAAAAAACATTCGAGGCTGCCCACCATTTTAAACTTTTTTAACAACAGGATAACATATTTGCCTCAACACTAGCAAGTTTGCAAAGAGATATGGGTAATCATATTTTATCTCCACAAACAATGTATACGTTTTGCAATGAAAACATTGAAGGCATACATTTCATATATACTTCATCAGAAGATTCAACTTTGGTGAGAACCGCTCTTAAAGAACGATTGGATACTGCTAATACAATACCTGGAACACGTAGTTACCATCAGTTTGTACCACTTGGCCATCAAAAGGTAAATTATTATTTTTTAATTATACCTTTTACCATATTTTGAAATACACGCATTACTTTTATTGATAAACTCAAATAGATATTAGATTATTGCAGAATCATTATCAAAATTATTTGTATTTTATTTTATTTCCTCTGCATTTGCTATCTATGCATTTAATAAAACATGTTTGATAAGTAAAACAGAATAGTTGCATATGTTACTATTTTGTTTAGGTAGGAACTAAGCTATGCAGTGTTGATGAAGAATTTGATTTAATTCACGACTTTGGAAATATCCAGATAACAACTGTAAACCTAGTACCAGGTGATTATGCCTGTGTTTCCTATGAGCAAAAGTGGTGGATAGGAGTCATTGAAGATATTATTTTAGAAGCAAAAGATGTGCTTGTAAAATTTATGTGTCCTAATGGTCCTGCACGGTTGTTTAAATGGCCACAAAAGGAAAACCAATGCTGGATTCCTGATGTCCACATTATTTGCAAAGTTGAGGTACCGATAACAAAAACCGGACTTTGCTACTATTTAGCCAAAGAGGAGTTAAAAAATATTATTTTCCTAAGGAAGTAGAGATTTTTATAATTATGAGTCTATTATGTCTTATCCATTCTTTTTTAAAAATTATGTTTTGTCAACCAACTTGTAAATAATGTGAATGTAAAGTATATATAAAATCACTAAAGTTTAGTATTTAAAAAAAAAAATTTATATACGTGTAAATTTTGTTGCAAATATTAAATGAAAATGAAAAAGATAATAAAGTCACTAAATTTTTAGTTTCTGCTTTATTGATTGGTAAAAGCTGGGGTTATATTAAGTGTCTAATTAAAAAAATATTAAAAAGTTTTGTGTCTATATCAAACATCAATAATTCCTCAAGTAAATATAAGGCCAAAACAAAATTGGTTCAAAAAGTAGGTGTTGATCTTATTTTTAAGAAAATCGAAATTAATTTTTTTTTATATCAGACAGATTTTTTTTATAGCTATAATTGTCAATGCCCCTTTTTCTCGCCGTTATAAAGTGTATTCTATGGATCTTAAAATAAGCTACATTTCCTTGTTTTGACATATAAAAAACTATATTTTTCGGATTTAACAGGTTTTAAACTCTTTTAGTACAAAGTTTTAGAATTGTGGCATCACTACAAGCACCATTTTAAGGTAAAAGTAAACGGAATGATTTTCGGCACTTTTCCCCCCTCAGTTTTTAGAAAAAATATTACAGTCTTTCCTAACATATGTCTATAAACATTTGTGCCAAGTTTCAAAAATTTTGGTGATATAGGGTGCAGATTTGTGTTTTTTTGTGTTTTTTGAGAAATTTTTACCCTTTTATCTTATATCAGTTAAACATAGCTGTAAATGTTTCCGAATTCTATTTTGACACAACTTTAGTATAATGTGAGTAATTCCACTTTGTCTAGGCCTAATCACCTTGAAAACGGTCCTTAGCAACACTTACAATTATTCAAAACTGCTCTATTTCTTTGCCATACTTTTTGTCAGATATTGTTAATCAATCATTAGTTAAGTAGACCAGCATGACGTGTAATGATAAAAATATAATAAAAATATGTGCAAGTTGCTATTGTTGCCTAGGTCATCAGTTATATTATATAACTTTTGTGGCATTAGGTTTAAGAGGTATTAAATTTTGAAAAAATCTTGCTGTTATAAGTTTTAAGAGAAAAGAAACATTTTTGTGGCAACCGGTGGAGCCTTAAAGAAAAGAAAAATATTGAGCTTGTTACCCAAGATCGTGTTTCTGTTTCTTTTATCAAAAAAAACTTTTTTTCACGTAAATTTTCCTAATAAAAGCAGAAGATTATAGTTATGAAGAAAGTTATAATACTGCGGTAAAATTTTATAATCTTTTAAACATTGTGACAAACATCTCTATAATAAAGAAAGTTTTTGATAAATTTTTTTTTTTTTTTTTTTTTTAGTGTAATTTATTTCGCCGTTAAAAAATGTTTACATTGCATATACATTTTTATAAATTGATAGCTGGAGCAAGAAGAA